GCTTGATGAGCACAGGTATCTCACAGAAGAAGTGGTCCAGTGTGTGGTGACCATAGAGCGAAACCTGGAGGGTGAGTGTGGCCTGGAGCAGAGCATTGGCCAGGCCACTGGACCAGCATACACCTGCCATCTGCACACAGACCCAGGGACACATGATGAGAGTGTAGCGGAGGGGAAGACAGATGGCCACATAGCGATCAATGGCCATCATGCCCAGCAGGACCCATTCAGTGCAGCTAGTGCAGCTGAAAATACTGACCTGTGTAATGCAACCCCAGGCAGTAATGGTCTTGTCTGGTCCCCAGAGATTGGACAGCAGCTGGGGCACAATAGTGCATGTCACACTGAGGTCCAGCAGAGAGAGGTTGTCCAGGAAGAAGTACATGGGTGTCTGGAGTCTGGGGTCCACCAGGGAGAGGAGGATGATGGAGCTGTTCCCCAGCAGGGTGAGGAGGTAGGAGACCAGGACCACTGCAGAGAGGGGCTTCTCCAGCCAGGGAAACTCTGAGAAGCCCAGCAGGACGAAAGTGTTGGGAAAGCTCACATTTCCCCTTTCCATGGCATCTCACTCTGAGGCTGCAAAGAAAGGGATAGATTTGAGGATAAATATAACTTTTCCCTTCTTTTTGCCCTCTTTCTTTGTTAGTGTGCATTTGCGAAACATACAAGGAAAGACAGTGGACCATGCACAAGAGACAGCAGGGCAGGACCAGACCCAGACAGAGCCACCTCAGGCCAAGGCCTAGCCCTTCCCACTGCCTCCTAAGGCTGCCACCAATCTGCAGGAGGCAGAGCCGCAGGGACAGCACCTCCAGGCTGTGCAGGGTGAGAGCAGAGTCTGCACTAGGATTCTGCTTTACATGCAATGGACTCTAACATGACAGGTACACCGGGTGCTGTAATGCAATCTGTGAAAGTTTCTGAAAGCTTTCTTTGATCTCACACTTCAGACAAACAGAATTAAGGGAAATTATGAAGAAATCTGTGCATGAGCTATATTTTGGAGAAATACATTGCAGATTTTGAAAATTCTAAAGAGATCATGCCCATATTTTTTTGACTTCTGCATGTTTCTTTGTTTAGACAACATTTAACATTTGGATTTTTCTTTTATTTTTCTAAATTTTTTAAATTTTTTGAAAACAAAAATAAAAATTCCTAGCAAAATAAGAGCACCAATAGGCCCAGGCTGTCTTTTCAGGGCGGTGCACACAGGGAGCTGAGGGGGAGCCTGGAGGTTGCTACCCGGCAGCTCCATGGGGTCAGGAGCTGTGAGCCCAGACTGAGGTGGACCTTGCGCTGCTGTATGAGTGCTTTGGGAGGAGAGGGAAATTCACTGCAAGGCATTTTCAGTATGAAAGTGCATTGAATCCTATGCAAGGCCCACGTTACACACTTTCCTATGTATTTTATTAAATACACGTGCATGTGTGCACACACGTACATCATGTAAAATACAACCTTCTGAAGTGTAATGTGTGCATGGTGGAGTGGGAAAATTGAGCTAATTTTAATATGCATTACTCACACTGCAGTCATTTTTGCTCATAGAATTTAACATGAATCCAAATGGATCTCATGAACTGTTGAGCTCTCTCTCCATTAGTGTCCTTTGTCCTCCATCTCTCAACCCCGTCCCTCCACAGAAGCCCACTCTGGTCACCAACATTCTCGTCTATACTTCAAAAACATCCACCAGACTAGATTCCAAATCTGAGTGAGACCCTCTAGCAGACATCTCTGCCCCATAGAAGCTGGCTATGAGTGACACAGGTTTCTTCCCCTTCTCGATTCAGCTGTACTACATTACAAGTAGCAGAACCCTGCTGAGTTCAATTCCAGCCAAGGTTAACTTGACCCCAACTAATACTTCCCCTCCAAACTGACCATTTGTTATCTTCAGTAAAGATATGTTGGTGCCATGCCTGCAATACCCAGTGTCAGTGAGTATCCCAGGCCTGCCCACCCCTCCTTCACACACCTGTATTGAACACACCTCCATGTCCTCTGCTGAGAGCAGCTCAGCTCAGCTAAGATGACACATCCCTCAGGTCTCTGTCTCTATGTCCTTAGTTACATCTTTCCTATCTCACCAATGTTGTACTGTTCCATAGGAGACTGTGACACACAGCCAGGGTCTTCAGTAACACATTTTTTGAGACCATATGTAGCTGTCTCTCCCTCCCCATTGTTGGAATGGCTAATAGAAAAAAGAGAAAGAACTAATTGTGGGCAGGGACATGGTGATGGAACTCAGGCACACATTGGCAGGTTGTACATCCATGCAGACACTGTAAAACAATGTGAATTAAAGTGTAGTGAGTACATGGGCTCAGTCACTCCCACACTGGAGAACAGGACCAAGGACATGCAGGCAGTGCACTGAAGAATTACCTGCGGTCCTTTGCAGCTTTACTAAGAGAGTCAGATGGCAAACTGACCTGAGTGTGTGTCAGTAGAAGGGATGAACACAATGTGGTAGGTTTATGCATAAGAGCATTAAGGTGTGAAGAGTTTGAACTGAGAGTCACTATGTTCAAGTGAAAAAGCCAGCACCCAAATACAAATGTTTTTGAACAGAACTTTCTCTGTACAAAGACACTCATGTAGAAATTTGGTATACTTGAGCCACACAATTTTGGGAATAGTACAAAACTACTTTTTATGAAATTCAGGACTGGAAATGTCACTGGCTTGCCTCCTTGCCCTATGTGCTGTTTATCATGGGTGATCCCATTTCCAGAAGTGACCATACCTTCCCCACACCTCCCACAAATCTGTGGAGTGATCATAAGAAACTGTGGTCCTCATCTCAGCCAGGAGGTGCCCTGCAGACAAGGATGTCACAGCAGGACCCCTCTAATGTGAACGTCCTGTCCTGTCTGAGCTTCCTGTCCCCTCCTGGCTACTGCCCCCCTACCCCCTGTGGAGAGCACTCCCTTCAGCCTGGCCCTGGGAGCTGGCTCCCCTCTGCCTCCAGCACTGAGCTCCGAGGGTCCCTGTTCCCGCTGCAGCCTCAGCACATCTGTCCTCTGCAGGGTCACGGCCTCCCTGCCCTGTCTCTCTGAGTGTTGCAGTGAATTCTGATCCCGCTCTCATCCCTCCCTGGCCTCACCTTCTTCCTGTGAGGGCACTTGAGTTGACAAATGTTGAAGTATTTAAATATGTAGGTAGGGCTGAGGCTGCGGTTGAGTAGTACAGCATTTCCCCAGGATGAGAGGGGCCCTGTGATCGTTCTTCACACTTCAAATGAAGTAACCCAAATGAAGAAGTGGAATTAAATTATTGCATTCCTGTGTTTCACTCTTCCTACCAACGTGGCCCTGTGCACTTACTCCACACATGTATGTGATGCACAGGACAAACTAGGATGGTCAGCATGTCCAGGTTATGAGTCTCTGTTTGCTTAGAAGTCGGTTTGCCTGCCAGAACCACTTCACACTTGCACCAATAAACAAAGAGACTCTGGGTTAGTCACAGTGGAGAGGGCCCTCATCCTTCCACACCCTCACCCAAGTGAGCTCCTTCTCCCAGTATTACCATGGAAATCCTCTGGCTGGCAGCCTCTGTCCACCCCCTCACAGCTCCTCACACTCAGAGCTGCCCATATCACTGACAGAGGATATTTCTTTCATTCGTCAAGCAAAGCTCTCATTCCTTGTTGTACATGCTACTCAATGCTCTGGTTTAACTTTTGTCATACCTTAAGACACTTGTTGCTAACGCAGAGAGCAATCACAGAATAGCGAGGTTTTTCTTAGTTTCCCTCCAGATTTATCTAACAGCCAGTTTAGTCCTCACTGCTTACTGCAGGCTCAGCATGTGCTGGGAGGTTGAGGCTCCCCGTTCCCCACCTGGGATTGTCTGGCTTCTACCTCTTCCTTCTCCAGCAGCTTCCTCTGCTCTGTCTATAGCATCTATATCTATCTAGATTTCACCATGTATCTGTATCTCCATACCTATCTCAATCCTTTCTTGGATGTCAAAAGTACTATGATGACTGGGGGAGCAGAGGTCAAAGTCAGACAGGAAGATTATCTTCTCAGAGCACTCACTGCGGTTCCCTCCAATCATCTACAGTGACCCTTCCTCACTGGAGAGCTGAGAAAGTCACCCTCAGAACCGGAGGAGACTGGAGGGTAGCACACAGGGTCCAGAACAACCTCACCTCCCCTCCTTTACCTTGATAGTAAAGAGAACAAATTATAGAGATGAAGCCCCAGCAGTACAAAAGTAGGGTCCTGGGTCAGGGATGCAGCTTCCTTCCAGGATCTCAGGTTTCATACTAAGAGGCACAGTCCCCTGAATCCAGCTTGGAGAGCAGATTTGTTCAGTGGAGGCCTCCTGAGATTCACTGCCGATGTTCTGAGACCTGAGCTCCTACAGTAAATAATTAGTTCCTGGACTGAGACTCTAGAGATTAGCAGTCCAGAGGGATTTGCACTACTTCTAGTTTATTGTCTTTAGAATCATCTTTCCCTGATGTCTGTTTGATTAGAATAAGTACCAATAAACTCAATGAGAATAAAAAAGGAGTAAGGTCATATCCTGAAAATAATAAAATAGTCTGTGGCCATGCCATGCTTCCTTCCTGGTGCCATATGCATGATTGTGTTCAGGATCAGCCTGATGCCACCCTTGGGGAATTCTGCCCAAGTCTGTCATGGATCCCTCTGTCAGTGCTAACCAGACCGACCCTCTTTTAGCTCCAGATGATTCAGAGCGACATAAGTGCAGATAAATTTCATGGCAAGTTACCTGGGATGCATTATACTTTGAGGATAGGAAAATCACTGCATCAGAAGACTGAGAAGCTCTTTAGCTGTCCAGTTATTTACTTTGCAGTCTGATGGGAAAATTTATGTAAGTATTGTGTTTTGCAATACATTTTTTTGAAGTGTATTTTTTCCTTATGCAGAAGCTTCAATTTCTTCCACTTTCCATTGTTGCTGTCATCTCCACCCTAACTGACCATGAAATGGTCTGGCTTGGTGTTGAACATGTTGTATCCCACAGTGGCTTTTCCATGCCCTGGGAAGCCTGAGCTGTACAAACCCATCTTGGTGAGACAGCCCTCAGATCACAACGGCTCTGCAGCTGAGGTGGAGGCCAGCATGACAGTTTCTCCACCAGCCTCCTACTCTCATGAGCTGGCTGGATGTACTATGACACACCTGTGTCCCATAGAAGAGGCCACAATCTCCAATGGCCACACATCCCCTTCACCTGTCCAGGATCCTCTGGACCAGGTGTGAGTGTGCAGAAGCTCAGATTGCAATGTCAGGTGGAGAGGAGTCTGGGTTCCTGGGAGATAAGCTGAGGAAAAGCAGAGCAGAGGCCACAGGGAGGTTGGCTGAGGAAGAGAGCAGAAATAAGGGTGACCTGTTGCTAAAAAGTGTCATCTCCATCCGAATCAAGAAGCTTGCAACATAAACTAATCCATTTCTTTTATTGTTTTCAGCAATCTTCTGGACTTGAAAATTCTTTTGTAGAATTCTTAGTGCCAGTATCTTTTTTCACAGTAAATCAGCTTCTCTGCATCATTAAAATATTAAAAACCCCCTGAAAGTAACATGACTGGGTAAGCTTGCTACCAGAAGTATTACAGTACAAATATTTTCCAGGCTTGGAGGCACAACCATGCAGTCCAAATTAGAAGCATTAGAATGACAAATTCAAGTCCAGCCCCAGTAACTTAGTGAGAACATGTCAAAAAGAAACAAAAGATCAGGTATGTAAATCACTGGCAAAGCACCAGAGGGTTAGATTACAAATCCTGCATATAACTGAAACTATAAGAATATATATTTTTCCCTTTTTATATCATGCTGTGAACAGGTTTAACTTCAATTTGACTTTAAAACAATTGGTGGACAAAGTACTTTATTCCACATTTTTTAAACATCACAGAAGTCACAGTTTTTATTTATTGTATTTTTTAACATTTGGTATTGGTTTTGACCACTAATGGTTCATCTCTCTAGGACACAGTGTGATGTTTCTCACATTGGCATGTTGTGTGTTGATCAACTCAAGGCTCATGGGTTATTGATCAGTCACAATTCATCATCTTTTTGATTGAAGACACTCACATTTTTCCCCTCTTGCCATTTTGAATAACAAAATGCACCACCCAGTGTGCATCCTGGTGTTGTCACCCCAGCAATGCCGCCACCTCCTCTGTCCTGTGATTGGACTCCTTTTTAGTAATCTGTCCTCACCCCACCCACTGCCTCAGGCCAGTCTCTGCCTACTGCTGTTCTCACCCCTAGTCCTTAGAGGTCTGCCTTTATAGAATCCTCGTATGCATGAAGCCATGTGGGATCCCCTTTTCTCTCTCTGGCTTATATCACTTAACTTTCTGAACTCCAATTTCATGCAAAATGCCCCAAATGATAGACAGTTTTCTATTATGTGACTGTATTTCTTCATTGGTTCATCTAGGAGTGGAATCTTATATGGCCGCATATCTTATTTTTTTATTTGTACTCTCCATAAATGCTCTTGTGCCGGGGTCTCTTTAGTGTGCAGAATTCACTAGTTTTTGTTGTGGTGTGAGTGGTCCACAAAGGCCATGAGTTCAAGGCAAGTTTATTGCCTGTGCTGCTGGAGGGAGGCAATGGATCATTCAGGAGTTTCGGCCCTGGAAGGAAACTAGGTCATTGGAGGAGCTCCTAGAACACTTTTCTCTTCCATGCTTCTTTCCCACCATGATTTAATTGCTGCTTTTTCCAAACAGTGATGGTATCAAATAGGTATCCAGAAGATTTAAAACTACATTGAAAGCATTCACAGCAGAATGAGTGAATATGAAGATAGAATTTCAATAGAAGATAGGATTTCAGTCAGTGACTGTGAAAAGAGAGATCTCTTAAAACAGTAAGGGATCATGAGAAATCAATCCCACAACTCCTAGATGATGTAAAGAAGAATAATATAAGACTGACAGGAATCTATGAAGTAGCAGGAGAAAGTACAAATGGCAGAAAATACTGTTCCCAGAATTAATGACAGAAAACTTCAGTCAGAGGGGAAGAATTTTAAATCTTCTGAATACCTGTTTGAATCTTTTTCATGGATTCCATTTGTTTCCTATTTTGGGCATTCATGGTTTCCATTATGGTCCTCAACTCATTTTTTTAAATCTGTTTCTGTTCTAGAGTCTCTAGTCCTGTCTTTCATTCTCCTCACCATCTCTGTGCTGGTCTGGGAAATTATTTCTTTTTGGAATTTTTCTAGAGCCTCATTTATCTGTTTTGGTACTCCTGTGCTATTGGTTCAGGGTGTCCAGATGGTTGACTGTCAGTCTTTTCCACCTTCTTTTCCCCAGAGTTTACCTTTAGTGAGGTGGAAGTCTGTATTTGTGCCTTATTTAAATGACTTCTCATTTCTATCTTCTGTTGTTAGTACTGTCCTTGATTAATTCATGAGTTAATACTTTGATTTTCCAGATATACCTGGTCTTTAGGTTTTGAGTCTCTAATAACTCTGAGGCAATCTCATTTTCATTATACAAGGATGGACAACTGATTAGATCAATCACAACATCTTAGCCCAATTGATACAATCAACAACACAATCGCATCAAGCACAGCTTAGAAAATGAAAATTTTTGGTAGTTATTAATCTATCACCTTTAATTTTGTGAGTTAAATCAAAATTGAGCATTAGCCCAAAATATGTTTATAGTGAGCAAACTCTTGAATACTGCAACTTTACTGTTCATGATGGGGTCTTGGAAAGAGTTGGGGAGGGAGGGGTAGATAGGATAGAGAAAGATTAGAAGTGTTGGCAGAGGACTCAGGAAGATCACACAAACTCTGGGAAACTGTTGAAGAGAAGAGAAGACAGACCAAAATGTACACAAGAACAGAACAAACTAACAAAAATAGGGAGGCTACAGACTGTAGTCACTTTATTTTAAAAGTAGTGGCAATCAATTGAAGAAAAAGAGAAAAAAAGGAAAAGAAAGAAAATAGTAAATTAAAATTAGAACAGGAAGAGTAATAAAGAGGGAGAGAAATTAAAACATGTTGAGAGATAGAAAGAGAAAGATAATAAAAAGATGAAAAAATTGAGAATAGCAAAAGATACATAGAAATTTTTGAAATGATTAAACATAAGATAAAAATATTACTTTGAAAATAAAAAATTGAAATAGAGGGCCTCCTTCAGGGTTTGCTTCTATTGACACAATAGACAGGGTGGGCAGGAGTGTACAGGTCTAAGTTAATTAGTCTTGGCAAGCCAGCAGCTGTACCCTAAGGTTCAGGCTGATTTCTGGCTGCAGGGCCCAAGCTGAGATCTCTGAGCTCCTCTGGTTTGAACTCTGCAAGTTTCTCCGCCAGGTTCCAGCTGTCCTTCCTCAAAGTCTGATGAGGTTCTGATGTGCGGTGCTGGTCCCTCTGACTCACCAACTATGGTGGTCTGGTGTGCTTCCATTGCAGAGATTTTCTTCAGTTTGACAGTGGGCTTCAATTTTCATCTAGGAGCTGCAGAGAGGCCCTCTTTCTCTTGTTCACCTGGGTGATGGGGCATGGACACTATTGTGTTGGTGCCCATATGGCTGGGCTCCTCTACTGCTCAGTGCTGAAGGGGTGGGCCCACCAGAGAGTCACAATCTGCTGCTAGGTTCCTCTGCCCCTTTTCGATTTTTGTATTCTTCATGTCAATCTTTATGGGAAAGCACACACCTGGTTTCTCCTGACCCATCAGCGGTCTCTCCACCCTGCTGGACTTTCCCTTTGCTCTGTTCTAGCTCACGAGTGTGATATGAGCCCAGTCATCCATGCTGCCCCCCCATCATGTTCCTGCCAAGGCCCCTGGGCCCTTGCTGGTTTCTTCTTCTAGTTTTATAGTTGTGCATTTTACAATTAAGCCTTTAGTGCATTTGGAAAAGTTTGCACTGGTGAAGGCCAGAGGCACAGTCCCATTTTCCCAGGATGACTTGTTGAAGAGTATGCTCTGCCCACGCACACATCCTCAGCCCCTTTGTGGAAACCATTTGGATGCAGGTGCATTCTGTCCACTTACTCCTGAGTCCCCACTCTGATCCGTGGACGTTTGGGTCCAACTTTATGACAGGATCCCGGTCTACTTGTTCCTAGAGACTTGCAATGTATGTCAAATTCAGGTCAGCTGGTGCCTCCAAATGGGGAGAGAAAAGGAACACCACAACACAGTATGCTCTCAATTAGAGTGGTTCTTTGCCAAGAGACAAAGGATTGCACATTTTGGATAGCTGTGCAGAAACGGGAAAGTGCACACACATGTAGCAGTTACCATTGTCATATTTAGGAATGTGCATTTGTACAGCCACTATGGGAACACTATGAGGGCTGTTCACAAACCTGAAGAGAACTACCACACATCCCGGGATCACCAGCACTGGGTATTTGTCCGAGGAGTGCTCGTCAGGTTTCCATGTCTGTGACACAGTACTTGAGAGAAGCAACTTAAAAGAATGGAAATGTTCCTTTTGGCTTATATTTCAGTGGTTTCAATCGTAGTCTGCCAGCACCTTAGTGAGACAGATCACCACTGTGTGGAAAATGCAGCAATTAAATCATGGTGGGCAGGAAACATGGAAGAGAAAAGAGCTCTTGGAGCTCCTCCAGTGACTTTGCTTCCTTCCTGGGCCCAAACACCTGTCTGATCTACTGCCTCCCTCTAGCAGCACAGGTAATAAATGTGCCTTGAACACATGGCTTTGGTGGACCACAAACACCACAATGAAAACCTAGTAAGTTCTGCACATTATAAACACCCCAGGACTTGAGTGTTTATGCAGAGTGTACACAAGAAAAAAGCTATGCAACCATATAAGATGTGCACTCCTGGATGAACTGATGAAGAAATACAGGATAAATACCCAGTGGAATAGTATACAGTCATATAAAAGACAACTGTATGTCATTTAGGGCATTTTTAATGAAACTGGAAATCAAAATGGTAAACGATATAAACTAGACAAAGAAAAGGGAACCCCACATTGTCCATGCATGTGAGGATTCTACAAAGGAAGAGCTCTAAGGACTAGAGGTGAGAACAGCAGCCAGCATAGATGGGCCTGAGGCAGTGGGTGGGATAAGGACAGATTACTAAACAGGAGTCAAGTCACAGGACAGAAGAGGTGGGCACACTGCTGAGGGCACAACACCAGGATGCACAGGGGGTGCAGCATTTCGTTGTTCAAAATGGCAAGAAGGGAGAAATGTGAGTGTCTTCAGTCAAAAAGATGATGAATTGGGAGTGATCGATAACCCGAGAGCCTTGAGTTGATCAACACACAACATGCCAATGTGAGAAACATCACGCTGTGCCCTAGAGAGATGCACCATGAGTGGTCAAAACAAACACAAAAAGTTAAAAAATGCAATAAGTAAAAACTGTGACCTCTGTGATGTTTAAAAAATGTGGAATAAAGTACTTTGCCCACCAATTGTTTTAAAGTCAAAATGAAGTTAAACCTGTTCACAGCATGATATAAAAAGGGAAAAATATATATTCTTATAGTTTCAGTTATATGCAGGATTTGTAATCTAACCCTCTGGTGCTTTGCCAGTGATTTACATGCCTGATCTTTTGTTTCTTTTTGACATGTTCTCACTAAGTTACTGGGGCTGGATTTGAATTTGTGATTCTAATGCTTCTAACTTGGACTGCATGGTTGTGCCTCCAAGCCTGGAAAATATTTGTACTGTGATACTTCTGGTAGCAAGCTTACCCAGTCATGTTACTTTCAGGGGTTTTTAATATTTTAATGATGCAGAGAAGCTGATTTACTGTGAAAAAAGATACTGGCACTAAGAATTCTACGAAAGAATATTCAAGTCCGGAAGACTGTTGAAAACAATAAAAGAAATGGATTAATTTATGTTGCAAGCTTCTTGATTCAGATGGAGATGACACTTTTTAGCAAAAGTTCACCCTTATTTCTGCTCTCTTCCTCAGCCAACCTCCCTGTGGCCTCTGCTCTGCTTGTCCACAGCTTATCTCCCAGGAACCCAGACTCCTCTCCACCTGACATTGCAATCTGAGCTTCTGCACACTCACCTGGTCCAGAGGATCCTGGACAGGTAATGGGGATGTGTGGCCATCGGAGAGTGTGACCTCTTCCATGGGACATAGCTGTGACACAGTGCATCCAGCCAGTTGGACAGAGGAGGAGGCTGGTGGAGAAACCGTCGTGCTGGCCTCCACCTCAGATGCAGAGCAGTTGTGATCTGAGGGCTGTCTCACCAAGATGGGTTTGCACAGCTCAGGCTGCCCATGGCATAGAGAAGCCACTGTGGCAAATAATGTGTTCAAAATCAAGCCAGGCAGCTTCCTATTCACTATTGCTTGATATGACAGCAACAATGGAAAACTGGAAGAAAGTGAGGGTTCTGTGTGAGGAAAAAATTCATTTCAAAAACAAATGTATTGCAAAACGCAATACTTCATAAAGATGCCATGAAGATTCCCACAGGACTGCAAAGTAAGTAACTGGACAGCTAAAGAGCTTCTCAGTCTTCTAATGTGGTGATTTGTGTGTGCTCAAAGTATAAAGCTTTCCATGTAATGTGCCACTCTTCTGCCCTTATGTCACTCTGCATATTCTGGAAATAAGAAAGGCTGAGTCTGGTTAGCAATGGAAGAAGAATCCGTGACAGACTTGGACAGAATTCCCCGAGGGTGGCATCAGGCTGCTCCTGAACACAACTGGGCTCAGGAACCCAGGAGGGCAGCATGGCGTGGTCACAGACTACTTCATTATTTTGAGGATATGCTTTTACTCTCATCAAACAGCCACAAGGGAAAGATGATTCCAAAGACAACAAACTAGAAGAATTTCAAATCCCTCTGGACTGCTCCTTCCTACAGTCTCAGCCCTGGAGCTCAGTGTGTCCTGGAGCGGCTCAGGTCTCTGAGCAGCCAGCCAGGAACCTCCGGAGGCCTCCACTCAACAAATCCCTTCTCCCGGCTGGATTCAGAGGACTGCACCTCTCTGTGGACAGAGCCAGTGAACCTGGAAAGAAGCTGCAGCCCTGGCCCTGGACCCTACTTTTCCACTGCTGGCACTTGGTTCTCTACAATTTGTTCTCTTTACTATCAAGGTAAAGGAGGGGAGGTGTGGTTATTCTGGACCCTGTGTGCTACCCTCCAGTCTCCTCCGGTTCTGAGGGTGACTTTCTCAGCTCTCCAGTGAGGAAGGGTCACTGTAGGTGATTGGAGGGAACCGCAGTGAGCGCTCTGAGAAGATAATCTTCCTGTCTGATGTTGACCTCTGCTGCCCCTGTCATCATAGTACTTTTGACATACAAGAACGTGAAGGTAGGTATTAGATATACAGATATACATATAGATATATGATACAATATAGATAGACATAGATGGTATAGAGACAGATAGAAGAAGTTTATGAAAAGGAAGAGGTAGAAGCCAGAAAATTTTATGAAAGGAAGAGGGAACCACAGCGTCCCAGCGCACACTGAGCCTGCAGTATGAAGCAAGCACTAAACAGGCTGTTAGATAAATCTGGAGGGAAACAAAGAAAAACCTCTGCCATTCTGGGATTGCATTCTGCAGTAACAGCAAATGTCTTAAGGGATGACAAAAGTAAAACTGGGGCATTGGGACTAAGGAACAAGGAATAAGAAGTTTGTGTGGCAAGTGAAAGAAATATCCTCTGCTAGCGATATGGGCAGCTCTGAGTGTGAGGAGCTGTGAGAGGGTGGACAGAGGCCGCCAGCCAGAGGATTTCCATGGCAACACTGGGAGAAGGAGCTCACTAGGGCCAGGCTGTGGAAGGATGAGAGCACTTCCACTGGGGATAACAAAGACTCTGCTTGTTTATGCAAGTGTGAAGTGGTTCTGTCAGGAGAACCAACATCCAAAGAAACACAAATCCTGGACATGCTGACCATCCTAGTTTGTCCTGTGCATCACATACATGTGTGGAGTAAGTGCACAGGGCCACGTCGGTAGGAAGAGTGAAACACACAAGA